AAATCTAACAGTGTAACGGTTAAAATTATCAGAATAAAGGGTAGGTTTCGTGGTTTATTTATCTTTTCCTTCTCCGCTGGGAGGTTGCGTGACAATTTGTAACTCCGGTAATTATATGTCTCCTCCGGTGGCCCGGTTCCGGAGAAATATGCTGCTACTATCTTCCATGATTCTTAAATAAATATGAGTAAAGATTGTTTTTTAGTAATTTACATCTTTAAACCTGGATTTTGTTAACCGTTCCGTCCGAAAGAAGCAAAGAGAATAGAATATATATTAGAGTGGAATTTACTAGAAAAAAGTGTAAAAAGGCCAATTTGTTGTACTGCTTCCATACTGCAGGTATACTTCACATATTTGTGCTATATAACCTGTTGGGCCCTGGAACATCATTTTTTAGAAAATCTAAAATTAATATTAAGAGAAAACAAAATTATGAAATAGGCTGGTTTCATAATTGACCAATGATCATTTCACAGAGATCTTATGCCTTCCACTTTACAAACGATGATTTTCTGTTATTCACCTCATTTTATAAAGTTTATTTAAAGCTTTAAAAAATCCGAAATTGAAATGGATAGTCTAGGGAACATACTGTATTAATGTACTCTACTGCATATAATTTGTACACTTTGAACTTTGAAAGGGACTGACAAAATTCATACCGAGTGATTACCTAAATTCCACTCTATTATATATTCTATTCTCTTTGGAAAGAAGTCCCATATTGGGTCAAATAAGAACCGATTAGATTGAAAAACTTTCTCTTTACAAAAGCTTTGAAATTCGGTGATGGTGATGGAACAAACCTCTGTAGAGTAAACAAGTAGATGTTAGTTCCACATTTATTGAAAATATATTTCGGTCTAGGTAGACCCTCGTCGGTTCTAACGATATAATAACCATCAAAATGTATGATAAAAAATGTTAAAAAATCAGAAGAAAATAAACAAACAAAAAAGATTATTAAACAAAATGGGTTGTCAAAAAAAAAGTTTAAGTTTACATTAGGTTGGGTTTTTCTTTTTAAAATTTGAGCTCAGCTGTACTAACTGCCTTTTAGGGTTCAAGAGATAACAGGGAAGACCTGTGACTTCCATAATATTGATCTAATGGATGTGTCAGCTCTTAGACAAGTCTTTTCAAAGGAAAATCATTATTTTACAATATGTTTAAATAAAGTAAAATCGGAATTATAAAGAATTTAATAGAAAGCTTTTTCTGAAATTTTTTTTTAACTGAAGATAAAAATCAATAGTTTTTAAAACAAATTGATGAATATAATATTATTTTTTATTTAGTAACATTTTACACTGTGATAATGATGATGACAATAATAATGATATTAATAATAATAATAATAATAATAATAATAATAATAATAATAATAATAATAATAATAATAATAATAAGATCCGAGGATAGACGCTGTGGAAATATTGTCTTCCACAATAATAAAAATAATAGCAAAAATAAAAATGAAAATATAAGAATAATAATCAAAAATATTATCCTATTGTAAAAAATTGGTTTTATAGTATCCAACCGTTCATTGTGTTATTCATTTTGCAGCTCTAAAAGCCGTTGGGGAATCATTTCAGGTAAATTTCGTAAACACTCGCTTAAGAAGGAAAAAATATCAAAGAACTACTCATTTCAAACTCAAATTTTCCTTCCCTTTATCTTTGCAACTTGGGGTTAGGCTTAGGTTTAAAAGTGACTGTAGACATGGTTTCTATGGACCCTCAATAGCGGCATGTCTGATTTACAGCTAAAAATAAATGAGATATTCATGTTATGTGAAAAATTTGCTGTGGTTCATCTATAAATGTCACGTGCGGGGTTCTCTATACAAAATTAACGGGAAAATGTGAGAATTAAACAGTTTTCAAAAAATACCACATTCCTCATTAGTGTACCGTGCACTGGCAGCCTTAGTACATTTGAATTTCCGAGCCAGGTCAACCTTTCCGGTCCCAGTTTGTACTGTATCCCCAGGACATTTGGTAAATAAAGCAGACAGTCAGCAGGACTATTTAAAGAAACACTCCAATTTTAAACATGAACCATAATATTTATGAATGCAGTCTTTTTTTTTTTGAAGATTTTGTGTTTCGTATCCAAAGGATTCTTAAATATTCAGGCTGAATACAGATGTTTGCTGATTGGTCGGGTCGTGTACAGTACTTGTACACAATAGAACATGCTGTGGAAAATATCGTATATTTTAGCTAATAATCGATCTCTGTAACTCTCTTATCTCTGTGCAAGTATGCAATCCTAATATTTAAATTTAAAATGTTTTTTTTTTTAAGAAAGTTTTGGAGTATTATAGCAACAACATTCAGGGGGCCTGTAATCTACTAAAAGTGATGGAGGAATTTAAGGTTAATACTAACTATATAATAATAATTATAAATATCTTCCTTTAGATGAGAAACACAGGTTTTCAGAATTAAAGAATTTAGTTAAAAAACGAAATCTCAAAGTTTTTCTATTTTAATTCTGTCAACGCCTTGTAAATGTAAAGCAAAGAAAGAATTTTCTTGTTCTTATATTTGTGCAATCTTATGGTGTAAACATTTGGTTTTTCCAAATTTTCCCCTTTGAAATTTACGGACCTCTTGACCGATTTGCCTCAAATTTAAATAGGGAAAGATAAGCTAGTATACTTTGTAGATTATAAAACCTTAGAATTTACAGCGCTCAACGAAATTTTACCCTTTTCCGAAATTTATGTAAAAATCGATGATTTCGGTTAAACATATATCTGAAATCTACGCTCAAAAATTGGTTTAAATACTCACCTTTCGATAATTTTGAAAAACATCTATTTTTTTGTCGACCTCGGAAGGAGCGACCTAAATGTTTCAAGTGTATTTTTTTTAGAACTGGAAACTGCACCAACCCCTACGGAACCACTAAGGTAAAAAACTAAATAAAAAATACAAATTTTTAAAACCAAAGATAATGTTGAAAGGATTAATATTATATATTTACCAAGGATAATGTAGAAAGGATGAATATTATATATTTACCAAGGATAATGTAGATAGAATGAATATTATATATTTACCAAGGATACTGTAGAGAGGATGATGATAGATCTCTCCTCTGCCAACTCTGAATGGTGTATTACATTACTCAGGTATAAATTAAGATATTACAGTAAAATCCACCAAGTTGTGGAATACGAAGACGACTTTTAAATAGTGCACTGAACATGAAATGAAGCAATTATGCAGTAATAAACCCATTTTACTTTAGAGTCTTTACAATCTGATGATAAAAGTTATTGCCTTGATATTTTAATCCTTTATTGCCTAGATATTTTAACCCTGTAATGCCTAGATATTTCAACCCTGTAAGGCCCAGATATTTTAACCCTGTAATGCCTAGATATTTTAACCCTCAAATGCCTAGATATTTTAACCCTGTAATGCCCAGATATTTAAACCCTGTAATGCCTAGATATTTTAACCCTGTAACGCCCAGATATTTTAACCCTTTATCGCCCAGATATTTTAACCCTGTAATGCCCAGATATTTTAACTCTGTAATGCTCAGATATTTTAACCCTGTAATGCCTAGATAGTTTAACCCTGTATTGCCTAGATATGTTAACCCTGTATTGCCTAGATATTTTAACTTTGTAATGCCTAGATATTTTAACCCTTTATTGCTTAGATATTTTAACCCTGTAATGCCTAGATATTTTAACCCTGCTGGTGCCCATGAGTCAGGAAATATCGGAGAGGACCCCCTCGGTATTCCTAATAATCTGATGCCCTATATTGCTCAGGTAACCAGAATATAGTGGAATTAATGTAAATTATTAATAATATTAATTAGTTTTTGTCGCAACCTTTGATTTTCTAAACCCTACACTTTGCAACCTGATGTTGTAGAGCGTTAATATGTCAAACTTAGACCATTGTTCTATCAGAATTTACAGTTTGAAAAATCAAAGGACTACAACATCCGGTTGCAAAGTGTATGGTGTATTTAAAGAATATGGACGACCAATTTACAATTTTTTGATTACCACTGTATAACATGTTTTCAGTGTAAATAGTACCATAATGAACACAAGAAAGCTCAGTGTGTTGCAAAAATAAACCGCCATCACTAAAGTTTCAGTAGAAGAAAATATTTCCATTTACTGATATAATGATTAATCTTTAATTGGATAATTAGCTAGATAGAAAGATAGATGTTACCACTATGCAATTTCTATTGGTTTAGAATAGACACCAAACAATGGCTGAACCCTGATTGGATCAGGCACTAATGGACTCGGCATACTAGAGTGGCCAAATGTGTTTGGTGTAACAGTTACTAGTTTTACTTATAAAATTTCAGTAAGGGCGCACAAGTGTAACATTTTGACTTGTATGTGTTAAAGCGAGTGTAAAGGTGATTTTAAATGGTTCTCCAGTTAAAAAATGGCATATTAGATTCACAACGTTACCCTCTTAAACCTTTGTCTGATCAAGGATAATGTATCTAGATAACTTTACAAATGTAGTGCCGGTCAAGGATAATGTATCTAGATAACTTTACAAATGTAGTGCCGGTCAAGGATAATGTATCTAGATAACTTTACAAATGTAGTGCCGGAAAAACTTGAGCTTATGCAGTCTTACATTCATATTATTGGAATTGGAATTGGAGAAAATATTCCCACAATATTTTTTTGGAGGTTTTAAAATATGTTCACCTGAAACAAGTGTTTTCAGCGAAATGGGTCAATGGTTTCGCGAAATTTTCGCATTTGGCGAATTTTTTTGCGAAATACTTTGCTCAATGCGAACGAAATATTTTCCAACGACCGGAAGTTTTCGTTAGCTGGAAAGCCTACCTGAAACAAGTAATTTTGTATGATTTTGTTAAATTTCATGAATAAAAAATGACTTTACTACAACTAAAAGATAAATAAATCTTAAAATAAAACACATTTAATTTGCAGGTCGCCATCGGACGAAGGGAAAAAATATCCGTGTATGGTGGGGATTATAAGGTATTTTCATTATAGATCCAGGCATGCTATAAAAAGTTGCAATATTTTTGAAAACTGGGTAGAATTTAAAGTGTCACAAGGCCTTGACCTCAGGGGCAGATACAGGGGGGGGGGGGCGGGGGGACATTCGCCCCCCCTGAATTTGGAATTTTTTGTTCCTATTTTCAGAATAGCTTCTCAATAGCATGCTTAATTCGGAAAGAAACCCTAGTGCAAAAAAGGAAAAATATCTGTCTTAATAAACTATAATGTGTGAAAAGTTAAAAATCTAGTTTTTTAGTCTTTAATCATTAAATTTGACTCTTTTTGAGTCTTTTAAGTCAAACAAAATTTTCGCCTTCGGCGCCATTTTTTGTTCCTAATTATGAATTTTTTTGTTCCTAAAAAATCTTGCCCCCCCCTCACTTAAATCCTGTATCCGCCCCTGCTTGACCTTAAGGATTAACTCAATACCTTACTTATACTTATTTGTAGCCCTAGTAATGTACATTTTATAAATTTCAGCTTTGGTTTTTAAGAAGTAATTGGCAAAAATTCTCTTCGATTTTTATGTAAGAGATTGCAACCTTTGCAATAGATCAATGTAAAGTTGGAACTTGTCTTTTAAAGGGAGTGTTCGCGAAACAGGATGAAAATAAAAAGCAAAAAGAATGGCGTAATGTTAAGTTTAGTAAATAATTTGCATGTCACAGAAATGGTTTTGAAACTGGTTGAGTATTTAAACACACAGCTCTGCAACATCATTATTTATTGTACACTTACAGACAAGTGATGGTACCGGACACCGTGATTATGTACACGTGGTGGATCTAGCTGAAGGACATGTACTTGCAGTACAACATATTCTTGCTGATAACAGGTATAAGCACTAAAAACGCCGAATCATTTGACGTACTGTAGGAGCCTGTTGACGTACTGTACAAGCCTGCAGGCTGCAGGCCAAAATACATGGTCTGCACTCTGTAGGTTAATAGATAATAATAACAATAATTTTCGGTAGTTACAACCTTTTCCTGCTGAGAACAGGTACAAGCACAGAAAACTCCGGTTCATTTGATGTACTGTACTAACCGTACTGTACTGTACTAACTGTACTGTACTGTACTGTACTGTACTGTACTGTACTGTATTGTACTAACGGTACTGTACTGTACTAACTGTACTGTACTGTACTAAGTGTACTGTACTGTTATAACTTTTATGCAGCTGGACCAGGTCGTACAGCATGCAAAAAGACTAGAGACACAAGACCAGAAAACAGCGGAATAGAATGACGACTTTATATCAATACTTTAGAGGATTTGATGTTGTTACAAAGCAAATAGTTTACAAGACACTTATCAAATCACTAATTTAGTGAAATAGGTCTGTTTACACTACACATTTGCTATGTATCTTGCTCATAAGACTTTTTATACCAATAACTTGATTCTAAATGTCGTCTTCCTATTCCAGAGTTTTCTGGTTATCACTGTTTATACTTCTAATTTTTGAATTTGTTGTATCGCTTTTAAAATAGGATCTTTTCTGTAAAATTGGATTGTTTGTATTCAATAAACGATAAAATGGCCCAAATTTTTGGGGAAATATTTTTCAAATTTCGAATTAAGCTTTTCTTCGGAAATCCAGCAACAACAGATAAATCTGCATAATTGTGCAACGTGCACAATCACATTCACATCTTTTCATAATGACCAAACTTGCTGGGGTAGCTTTTATAAAAGAGAATGAACTAAATTAAATGTCGCCGATTAAAGTTTTTTGTTAGGAATGGAACTCATATATTCAATCTTGGATCTGGAACTGGTTCTACAGTTCTAGAGGTTATTCAAGCCTTTAGTAAAGCATGTGGAAAGGTGAAACATATTTTAAGAATCCTTAATTAAGATATTTTAGAATTGGTGCCATAACATTGTATAGAACTTTGCACATTTTTTAACAGAGGTTGATTTTGTTTTAAAAGTTGAAAAAGAATTTTATTTTTGTAAATCGTTATTATTGATAAATCGATTCATGAATTACTTTATTCTTGTCTCATTTTCTTCTCACGAACACTCCGTTAAATGAATTTTTTAATTATTGTGAACATTTCCTTTAATTTGTATTATTTAATTCTCAAGAACATACCCTTTAATTATTGTTATTTACTCTCGTGAACACTCCCTTTAATTAGTATTATTTACTTCTCGTGAACACTCCCTTTAATTAGTATTATTTACCTCTACTGAACACTTCATTTAATTAGTGTTATTAAATTCTCATGAACATTTCCTTTAATTAGTGTTATTTAATTCTCATGAACATTTCCTTTAATTAGTGTTATTTAATTCTCATGAACATTTCCTTTAATTATTGTTATTTAATTCTCGTGAACACTCCCTTTAATTAGTATTATTTACTTATCGTGAACACTCCGGCTTTAATTAGTATTATTTACTTCTCGTTAACACTCCCTTTAATTAGCATTATTTACTTCTCGTGAACACTCCCTTTAATTAGTATTATTTACTTCTAGTGAACACTTACCTTAACTAGTGTTATTTATTTATCGTGAACACTCTCTTTATTTAGTGTTATTTACCTCTCGTGAACATTCCCTTTAATTGTTTTCCCTAGGAGATTCCCTACGAGATAGTTGGTAGACGCAGAGGAGATGTTGATAGTTTATACGCTAGCTGTGATAGAGCACAGGAGGTATCTGTATATCTGTCTACCTGTCCACCTGTCTACCTGTCTACGTGTATACCTGTCTACCTGTCTACCTGTCTACCTGTCTACCTGTCTACCTGTCTACCTGTCTACCTGTCTACCTGTCTATCTGTCTACCTGTCTACCTGTCTGACTGTCTTTCTTTCTAACTGTCGACCTGTGTACATGTGTACCGGTGTACCTGTCTACCTGTGTACCTGTGTACCTGTCTATCTATCTACCTGTCTATCTGTCTACCTGTTTATCTGTCTATCTGTCTACCCATCTATCTGTTAATGTCTACCCGTCTACTCGTCTACCTGTTTACCTGTCTGCCTGTCTACTTGTCTCCTTATCAACTTGTCTTTATGTCTATTTGTCTTATGTTTACTTAGAGGCGTACTCAGGGGGGGGGGGCTTTGGGGACTCAACTCCCCCTGGACCAGTGAAATCTATGGATTGCACTTGTCTAACTTCTACTTGTCAAATGTGTACTAACTAAGACGATATTTAAATTATATTTAAAACTAAAACGATATTTAAATATTATTTGAAACAAAGACGATAATTAAATGTTATTTAGAACTAAAACAATATTTAAATGTTATTTAAAACTAACACGATATTGAAATGTTATTTAAAACTAAACCAATATTTAAATGTTATTTTAAACTAAGACGATATTTAAATATTATTTTAAACTAAAACGATATTTAAATGTTATTTAAAACTAAAACGATATTTAAATGTTATTTAAAACTAACACGATATTGAAATGTTATTTAAAACTAAAACAATATTTAAATACTATTTTAAACTAAAACAATATTTAAATATTATTTAAAACTAAAATGATATTTAAATATTATTTAAAACTAAGACGATATTTAAATAATATTTAAAACTAAAAAGAAATTTACGAAAAACTATGATAGCAGAAATTAAGATAATAATAAAATTTCCAGAGCTCAAGGGTACCTTAGTAGATCGTACATTGCAGTTTAAAAATGTAACATTGACAATATTCTATTTTAAACTAATTTAGGAACTCGGATGGAAAAGTACCCGAACCCTTGAGTCCATGTGTCGGGATATGTGGAACTGGCAAACCAAAAACCCAACCGGGTTCAATACAACCAAATAAACATTTTAAAGGGACTGCACACGTAGCTTTCAAACCTCGAGAAACGACAATATCTTCCACATTATTTATCAGATGAAGGAATCAAGGGTACGGTTGTGAATCAGGAAAAGCCATTTTTTTTAGTTTTTAGTGATAATTTTGGAATAAAGTGCTTAATTTACGGTAAAAAGTAGCAGTTTTGCGTTTTCTTTTTTACACTTTTTTATTTAATCTTGGAAAACATGTCAATTAATGTGAGAAAATTTCTTTTTCCTTGTTATATTTAACACTTGTGACGTCTCGTATAATTAGTCCATTTCTCTGTTGCCACCTATTGTACTTGATAATCTAGTTCACCGATCCATTTCAAGTTATTTCAATGTAAAATTGCTTCCTTTATAACAACAGTAAAAATGCATAAACAGTTGTCATAAATGTCGTCTTCTTATTACACATTTTTTTTGGTCCCAGTGAAGGCATTTTTTTTCTATTTATGCACCAGAATTCTGTTACTGATTAGTTAACTTTACAATCAACATATATTGTGTTTTGTGTTTAGTAGTTAACTTTACAATCAAAATACATTGTGTATGTGTTTAGTAGTTAACTTTACAATTAACATATATTGTGTATGTGTTTAGTAGTTAACTTTACAATCAACATATATTGTGTATGTGTTTAGTAGTTTTTGCATAATTTATTTATTTTTCAAATGACAATTTGAAGTGAATCTAAGTTATCTTTTTAAGTTTTATATCCAGTTTCAGAAATCAGTAAATTAAAACACTTATTATTTCTGGTGATTTTAATATTGATTTCTTAAAATTGTCAACACATGCTGACACTTCAAAATACTTTGATCTATTACTTGAAAATAGTCTTTTCCCTGTTCTATCTATCTATCTATCTATATATCTAAACCAACTCGAATTTCTCATTCTAGCGCCACTTTGATTGATCATATTCTTGTTAAAGATTAAAATTCAAATTCAAAATCTGTAATTTTTCTTGATTCTTTATCTGATCATTGTCCAATAATTCCAAAGCCAAGAAAGTTCGAACTAGAATCATAAATGAAAAAAGCGAGGAAAAGTTTAATAGTCTTTTAGCTACTCAAACTGGTTGGGTATTTTAAATGTAAATCTCCCGGAAAAATCATTTTCGCTATTTTTTTGTGAAAGTTTCACTGTGCAATGAGGAATCTTTTCCTTTTACCGAGAAAATTAAACAATTGAAAATTCTCCAAACCCGGGAATGGGACGTAGCGGTGCGGAGAGGGGGATAGACAAAACTCTCACGTTTGCGCGAATACCGCCCCCTAGCCTATCCTAGCCGCGGCGCTAATATACTAATATAAATATTTATAGATATTGCAAAATGTTTTACTTAAATTATGGGAATTCTTTTTATTTTGAGTTTACTGGATTTGTAAATAAAAAATGGGTCAATTATACAATAGAAAAAATAGGTTTTAAACATTTGATAATGATATGTATAAGTTATGCGATCAAACTGATAAGTATTGAAATTGAATCAACTTTTTAGATGAAAACCTTAGTCTCAAATTAGATTCTCTGCAATCTGAACCAAAGAGAATCAGAAAGAGTCAAAACAGTTATCCATGTTGCCTATGCGAATATTATGCAACAATAACAAGGAATTTGAAAAGACATGTTGGAAAAAAACATGAAAGAGTGAGATAACCTTGTTCTCAATGTGAATATTTTGCCAGGACAACAATGAATCTGAAAAAAACAGGAAGTAGTGAGATATCCATGCTCTCAATGTGAGCATGTTGCAACTCAAGTAGGTCATCTGAAGAAACTTGTTGAAAATAATAATGAAGAAGATAGTAATTATGAAGGGGTGAGATATCATTGTTTGCAATGTGAATATGCAGCAACTGATTCAAGTAACCTGAAAAGTCATATCTAAAGTAAACATGAAGGATTAAGATATCCTTGTCCTGAATGTGAGTTTGCTGCAACTTCAGCAAGTGTTTGAAGAGGCACATTTAAAGTAAACTTGATGGAATGAGATTTTCTGTGATTAATGTGAGTTTGCTGAAACTGACCTAAATTGTCTAAAATTACATGTTAAAAGTAAACATGGAGGAGAAAAATTTCCTTGTTCCCAATGTGAGTTTGCTGTAAAACTAGAGAAAGTTACCTGAATAAACAAGTAGAAAGTAAACACAAAGGAGTGAACTATTCTTGAGTATGTTTTAACTTTATCAAGTACACCTGAGTAGACAGATAACAAGTTAATCTTTTGTGTTTTTTAACTCTGTTGGCTAAATTGATTTATTAAATAAATAATATTTAAGTTTCATTTATTTTCATTTATTGTATTATTTTTTATTTTTTTATTGTTGATATTTAAAATAATTGATGAACATTTAGAGAGTAAGAACAAGTCTATGATATAGTTTATTAGTAATAAATTTGTAGGTAATAAACTACTATGCAGGAGAACATGTTGATCCGATGCAGGTTGGAGAACTACTGGATTTACACCAGCATATGTCTTTTCCCGTATTTTCTCCTTTTCCTTCAAGGATTCCTAGTTCAGATTTAAGGAGAAAATAGATCCTCTACAAACATTTCTTTTATTTTCATTTTTCACCGATATGCAGCCAAATATGTCAAAAAATTCAAGGAGTTGAGTTTTGCCACAAACTCTGATTTGCTAGTCCCTATATCTTTTAACCCATTATGGTAGACCATAGATATTTCAAACTATGAATTCTGTCATATTTATCAATTTAAGTTTGAAATATCTAAGGTTTACTTCATCAGGTTGAAAAGAAATAGGGATTAGAAAATTTGAGTTTGTGGCAAAAACTCTATTTTTTTCCCGCCAAATAAGATCTTGAATTGTAAACAGAGAGTTTCATAAATTTGTTTTGAAATTCAAAATATGCTCAAAATATGCTCAATATGCTCAAAATATGCTCAAAATATGCTCAAAATATGCTCAAAATATGCTCAAAAACATAAACGTGATTCATTTAAACAAAGCCTGATGCTTAATACTTAAAAAATTTTATTTGTAAAAGGCCTTGCATAATGAAATTTTGACAAATCCAGGATATTTGCCAGTAATAATCTGAACTATGGAATGTCACCTTCATCCTTATCTTATATCCGGCCTGTAAAGGTATTGTACATCGTCTATGCGTAACATCCCGGCCCTACTGAACTTATGACCTACTAACTTTCCGACCTACTGCAATATCGGACCTACGCCAGGTGTTTATTTTTGTATTTTTTTAGGGTTAGGTTAGGTTAAGACAGTGGGCCGATGGCATGCGTCTAGGACATCCTAGGGGGCCGAGCACCAAGGCTAGGAGTGACAGGCTAGGGGGCCGGGGGCTGTGGCCACAAATCCATATAGAAACTGTAAAACCACATGCTAGTAGGTCGAATCTGTAGTATAGCGGATTTGCGTAGGTCGAATAATAACCACCCTTGAAATACAGAATTGTAAATGTCGTCTTTTATCAAGGAATAAATCAGCTGTTTATGGCATCTTTTATAAATCAGCTGATCTGACTCAGCTGTTTGAAATTAAAGCACAATGGATCAATGTTTCAATTTATTGTCTACTATTTTTATTAATTATTGTTTTGATTAAATTAACCTTTTAATAACATTTTTTCATTTATTTATTTATTGTGATTATTTTCTCTTTGTTCATGCATGACAAATGGCAGAAATGATTTAAGAAGAATAAAATAGAGAAGAAATTGAGATAAAAAAGAGATAAACAAAATATCGTAAAAATTCATACTGTAAATATTTCTATTTTATATTAAACATATTTTCAGATAGAATGGCAGTTATTATAAAAGAAGAAATAGATTTAGAAGAATTTGAGATAAAAGAAGAGTTAATATCCAAAAATGAAGAAATCCCTCCCCCCTCTACTGTAAAGGATACATGTACTGTTAATCTACATAAAGATGTTATTAAGATTGATAAAACAGAAATACAAGGTAACCTAATGGTTTCATTAAATAACAACCTTATCAGACTTCTGAATATTAATAGTGTAAATAAAAACTGAAGTACAAATCTTCCAAGCTAAGGTTGGGTAATTTTCATCTGTTGTCTCTTTTATAAGTAAAGTAGCAAAATACAAACACTACTTTTAACAGATTTTCTTTTCACCTTTTCCCGCATTTTAATACCAGTTTCTGAGAAGTATATTTCTATTTCCAAGAGTTCTTGAACTTTTGTAAAAAAAATATTTCATTTTCGTAAAAAACGTAAAAAAGCAGTCAACATATTTTTTCAATACTTGGGTAACACATGTTCATAAAAGAATATATACCCTATATAAACTATATTATTATGCAGACAGGAAAATGTACGTATAGAATAAACATGTATTTTATATTAATTTACATACATCTATATTGACATTTAAACTATTTTGTAAGGATATTCAATCTAATTATGGTATTAACGAAATCTAACAATTTTCTAAAAAACTTCCTGTACGCGAGACTACCTAAGCTTAAACTATTAACCTACCAAAGTTAAAAATAATACTTACCTTATTTATTGAATACAATTTGGTGGTTATAACAGAATAGAAAAGCTAAAAAGTACTTAATACACTAAAACTAAATAGATACCCTTTCATGAACATAATAATAATATAATAAAAAGGCCAAGAATTCAAAAGGGGGGCAAGGAGGGGGAAACTAAAGATATAAAATAAAATAACTGTTTACCCTTGAATTTGAATGAGCTATCCTTAATTTTCCGGCTGAAAAATTGGTCACACACTGATCTGGCGTTCGGACTAAAAACCATTTCAGACACTGCCTTGGCGGTGGTCGAAGGGGCCTTTATATAGGGTTTGATAGGGGGGGAAAAGGGCATCTGCGCTGAGGACAACAAGGGAGGGGAGGCCTGGTTGGTAGGGGCAATTAGGGCCTTCTAGAAAAGGGGGGTAAAAAGGGTATAGATACAAAGGGAGGGGAGGTCTGCTTCGCAGGGGCAATTAGGGCCTTCTAGAAAAGGGGGGGGCATAAAAAGGGTATGGATAAAGGGGAGGTTAGGTTAGGTTAGGTGACCCTTAAGTGACCCTTAAAAGCTTTGCCTAATCAAGTATGAATTATATTCTTAAATTTTGTAATCAAATTTCTGAAATCTTTTTGATCTCATATAAAATAATGGAAGAAAGTAACCAATGCCTGAAGAATCCACTTTTAGGAAATATGAATGTCCTAAACCAAAATTGTCGAGAAAATTGTGAGATTTGAACTCTTCTTAACTGTCATTGGTCAATTATGTAAAAGTGACCAATAGAAAGACATTCCAAAACAAGTTTTTCCAGAATTGAATTCTAAGAAACACACACGTCGTCAAAAAGTGAAGAGCAAATGAGCAAATCGGGAAAATTTATGAATTTTGAATCATTTTTTAGCTTGAGAAACTTCAAAGAATAATTTATGAAATTTTTTGTTTTAAAAAGCTTCAAAGAATAATTAACAAGGGTGATACGAAGGGGGCGGGGTATTAACATATTAAGTAAACTTTTTTTTTTATGTTTAGATGTATTGAATACTGTAATACAGGATACTGAAGAGAATAAACCTGTATTTGATCCTTATTTTCACACTGAGCTAATCATTAAACATGAAAACGAGGATATAGGTAATTCAATAATTTATCATCTAATACGCAAATTAACAGTTAATTAATTAAATTAAATTTAATAGTATTTTATCTTCAATTTTTCAGGAGAAAACATGCATCAAGTATTTGAACCACAGCCTAAGAAAAGTAAGAAAAAGAACAGCAAAGGGGAATTTCCTTGTTTTGATTGTGAGTATGTTGCAACCAGAGCTTATCATCTGAAAACTCATGTTGAAAGTAAACATGAAGGAGTGAGATATCCTTGTTTGCAATGTGAATATGCGGCAACTACAGCAGGTCAGTTGAAGATTCACGTTGAAAGTAAACATGAAGGAGTTAGATATCCCTGTGCTCAATGTAATTATTTATCAACTACAGCAAGTAACTTGAAGACGCATGTTGCAATTAAACATGAAGGAGTGAGATATCCTTGTTTGCAATGTGATCATGCTGCAACTACAGTAGGTGGTTTGAAGAGGCACGTTGAAAACAAACATGAAGGAGTGAGATATCCTTGTTTGCAATGTGATTATGCGGCAACTAAAGCAAGTGATTTGAAGAGGCATGTTGAAAATAAACATGCAGGGGTTAGGTATCCTTGTCCTCACTGTGATTATTTTGCAACTAAAGCAAGTAACCTGAAGATGCATGTGGAAATTAAACATGAAGGAGTTAGATATCCTTGTCCTCATTGTGTGTATGTTGCAACTACAGCAAGATCTTTGAAGACTCATGTTGAAAGTAAACATGAAGGAGTTAGATATCCTTGTCCTCATTGTGAGTATGTTGCAACTCAAGCAGCTCATCTGAAGAAACATTTTGAAAATAAACACGAAAGAGTTAGATATCCTTGTCCTCATTGTGTGTATGTTGCAACTCTAGCAGCTAATCTGAAGAGACATGTTGAAATTAACCATGAAAGAGTTAGATATCCTTGTCCTCACTGTGAATATATTGCAACTACAGCAAGTAACCTGAAATCACATGTTGAAAATAAACACGAAGGAGTGAGATATTCTTGTTTGCAATGTGATTATGCGGCAACTACAGCAGGGTCTTTGAAGAGGCATGTTAGGAATAAGCACGAAAGAGTTGGATATCCTTGTCCTCACTGTGAGTATATAACAACTACAGAAAGTATCCTGAAATCACATGTTGAAATTAAACATGAAGGAGTGAGATATCCTGCAATGTGATTATTTTGTAACTACAGCAGGTGATTTGAAGAGGCACGTTGAAAGGAAACTTAAAGGAGTGAGATATCCTTGCGCTTAATGTGATTATTTTGTAACTACAGCAAGTAACCTGAAGAAACATGTTGGGAATAAACACGTATGAGTAAGATATCCTTATCCTCATTCTGAGTATGTTGCAACTCAAGCAAGTATTTTGAAGGTGCATGTTAAAAGTAAACATGAAGGAGTGAGATATCCATGCCTTGAATGTAAGTATGCTGCAACTACAACAGGTGATCTGAAGAGGCATATTAAGAATAAACATGAGCCTTAGATATCTATCTCATTTTAAGATAGTTCGAAATCAAAATAGGTAAATATGGAGTGGAGTCACAATTATTGATGTTTTTCATAGTTTTGTAAATTAATTCATTAAATATATATCTTTTTTATTCTATATTCATTATTTTAAACAAGTCTTAGTGAACAAAATCCAATTTTTTATTTAAAAATTAAATTTGTGGAAGAGAAATATTTGATAAGTTTGATTGTACTCCCTAGTATTTTTGCCTTGGTTTTTTTAATAAAGTTTAGCAAAAAGTTTTGTTGTAATGTTCTCAATTATTTATAATCCAAATCTTTGAATTTTTTTTTGTCACATAAAAATATCATTGTTAATCTGTTACTTTGTACATTTTGTTTGGACGCTGAATGTATTTTTCAGATAAAATGGCAGAGATTATGAAAGAAGACTTAAACATTGAAGATTTTGAGACAAAAGAAGAGTTAATTTCCATCAAGGAAGAAATCCTTCCCTCCTCTACTGTAGAGGATACATATGCTGTTAATCTACATAAAGATGGTATAAAGTTGGAGAATACAGAAATACAATTTATAAAGGAATTTCTAGAATTTCTAGCCTTTTTACACACGCACATTTAAAAGTCAACGCTGTATTTAGCATTTATTGAGCAATTCTTCTTACAGCATCCAAAGTGGTGGAAAACTGAAAAATAATCACATTAGTTTTATAAAATTATAATTACAAAAATGAATATTTTCTCCAAAATAAGCTTTGTGCAATTGTTTGTATTAGACAATCTTCATTTGCTTTCAATTGAACTTTAGTTTCTTGCTTTATAATTTTCATTTCTTTCTCAGTAGAAGTTTCATCATGTTTAAATTCTCCAAATACTTATAAAAGAAATACTCACTTGTGGGCTTTTCCAGGTTTAGTTCAGTGCTCTTTTATTTCCTGCAGTTTTGGCTCTTCATTAGTTTTAGCTTCTCTTGAAGTTTAGTTGAACTTTATATAGCTTGGACACTGAACAATGGTCTTCAAGAGATTCAAGAGTAGGCGTAGCTCTGTTGAGTAGAGTTCTAGCTATAGCTGTGATTGAAATCTTTCCCCATTTATCCAGAAAGAATCAAACACAGAGTTGGCAGCAATCATCCTGTATAGGATAATATTAGTCTGTGCATAAACAAGATATATGCAAATATCAAATAAACAGATTTTCTATTTAAAATGAATTGATAAAATATCATTCAGGAAGATCTTCTTTTGTCCGGTGTTCCTGCAATCAGAACAAGTTTTGTTAGATTTTTCAGTAGTTGCAGCAAGATCACATTGCAAACAAGGATATCCCACTCCTTCATGTTTAAATGCAACATGCGTCTTCAAGTAACTTGCTGTAGTTGTTAAATAATTACATTGAGCACAGGGATATCTAACTCCTTCATGTTTACTTTCAACGTGCCTCTTCAAATCACCTGCTGTAGTTGCCGCATATTCACATTGCAAACAAGGATATCTCACTCCTTCATGTTTACTTTCAACATGAGTTTTCAGATGATAAGCTCTGGTTGCAACATACTCACAATCAAAACAAGGAAATTCCCCTTTGCTGTTCTTTTTCTTACTTTTCTTAGGCTGTGGTTCAAATACTTGATGCATGTTTTCTCCTGAAAAATTGAAGATAAAATACTATTAAATTTAAATTAATTAATTAACTGTTAATTTGCGTATTAGATGATAAATTATTGAATTACCTATATCCTCGTTTTCATGTTTAATGATTAGCTCAGTGTGAAAATCAGGATCAAATACAGGTTTATTCTCTTCAGTATCCTGTATTACAGTATTTAATACATCTAAACATAAATACAGAAGTTTACTCAATATTTTAATACCCCGCCCCCTTTCGCCCCTTTCGTATCACCCTTGTTAATTATTCTTTGAAGTTTTTTAAAACAAAAAATTTCATAAATTATTCTTTGAAGTTTCTCAAGCTAAAAAATGATTCAAAATTCATAAATTTTCCCGATTTGCTCATTTGCTCTTCACTTTAATTTTTTTAATGGGCTCAATTATTATATTACCCTTTAAACATTTTTTCCACTTTCCTTCCTTTTTCCATGTTACGGTCACATCCCCCAACCTTAGCTTGGAAGATTTGTACTTCAGGTTTTGTTTACACTATTAATATTCAGAAGTCTGATGAGGTTGTTATTTAATAAAACCATTAGGTTTACCTTGTATTTCTGTTTTATCAATCTTAATAACATCTTTATGTAGATTAACAGTACATGTATCCTTTACAGTAGAGGGGGGAAGGATTTCTTCATTTTCGGAAATTAACTCTTCTTTTATCTCAAATTCTTCTAAATCTATTTCTTCTTTCATAATTTTTGCCATTCTATCTGAAAATGCATTTAACATAAAATAGAAATAGTTACTAACAATAATATTTACTGTTTGACAGATATTATTTGAAGATTTACTATTTTTAAAGTTTTTTTGTAAAAATAGTTTGATTGAGCCAAACATAGTTCAAATAAGCCAAAAATAGTTCCAATAAGCAAAATAATAACTCAAATGCGCACAAAACATAGTTCAAATAAGCAAAAAAAAAGTTTAAATGAGAAAAAAATAGTTTATATGAGCCATAACATAGTTCAAATAAGCCAGTAAATAGTTGACCAATAATTAATATCATTGGTCATTTGGCTGAAGGCCCGGCTCGCTAGCCTGACCTAGCCACAGCGCTCAGCCCCCTAGCCTGTCCTAGCCGCAGCACTCAGCCCCCATAGTTTGTTCTAGCTGCAGTGCTTGGCCCTGAAAGTGTTTTAACCTAACCTAACCATAAAATAATACAAAATGAATATTTTTTGTTGAAAATAGTTAAAATTTAGGCCATGTACAAAAATGATAGGCGGGGGAGGGGGGAAGGGGATGGGTCCAAAAAATTAATTCAATTGAACAAAAATATCTAGTTCAAATGAGCTAAAAAAAATGGTTGCTCATTTGAACTATTTTTTAAATTCATTTGAAAATATTTTTATTGTTTATTTGAACTGTTTTTTTGCCCATTTGAACTATTTTTTTGCTCATTTGAACTATTTTTTTGTTCATTTGAACTATTTTTTGGTTCATTTGAACTATTTTTTGGTTCATTTGAACTATTTTTTTGGCTCATAACTATTTAGTTAATTTGATTTGCTCATTCGAACTACTTTTTCTCATTTGAACTATTAAATGCTTCATTTAATTAAATTAATTAATGTCCGATTGAACTAACGTACTTTTGCACTAAAGTCAGCCATCAAACAAATTAGTGCAAATGAATAAAAATCGGGTTTTCTGTGTTCAATTGGACTAAAATTTTATTTTCCCGCCAGGAATATTTTAGTACAAATGATCATTAGTGCAATTGATCTGGAATACTAAAAATATTTGTTCAAACGCACTAAGCGCTCGCGGGCGCTCTTGTGCTCAGATTCCTTCCAAACAAAAAAATGCTTGTAAAATACATAATTCTCAGTTTGCATGCAAAAAAACAGCCTCCTACGACAATTCTAAGTTATTTTCAAACACTGTTTAAATTTTCAGGAGAGTAATACGTTTTATCCCCCCCCTCTTTATAAAAGCTACAATTAAAACAAAAAAAATAGGATTTTTATTAAAAACTTTTTGAGGGCGGACCAGCCGCTTTCTTTGAGAATGATGCAAAGAAGCACCGTCCCCATACTTGAATTTACATTTGACTGGTTTACAACCATGAGAAAACTAAAAAAAAGAAAAAAATGCAAAAATGCATTTAATGCATGGGTTCGGTGCTCCCTGAACACCGGACCCACGCCGGGCCGGGTGCTAATCAACCCTCTCTAAATTTTTTATCCCTGGTTAGAGACCAATTAAAAAAACAAAAACATTTCAACTCATGTATACAAATAAATTCATTTACATGCATTTAAGGCTTGTTAATTAAATCGTCCTAGTTCCACTCCATTTTACATTCTCTTTGAAAAAAAATTTAATATGCATTTTGATGTTTCACTAAAAGCTTAATTTGGGTTTCATTTTCTTGATTGTGAAAATATATTCTAAATTTTTTCCCTGGTATCTCGGCTGGTAAATAATATGCTTCTTTATCTTACTCCTTCGTGTTTATTCCCAACATGCGTCTTCAGGTTACTTGCTGTAGTTGCAGCATAATCACATTGCGAGCAAGGATATCTCACTCCTTCATGTTTATAATTAACGTGCCTCTTCAAATCACTTACTCTAGTTGCAATATACTCACAATGAGGGCAATGATATCTTACCCCTTCATGTCTATTTACAACACATTTCTTCAGGTTACTTGCTGTAGTTGCAAAATAATCACATTGAGAACAAAGATATCTCACTTCTTCAGGCTTGTTTTCAACGTGCCTCTTAAAATCACCTGCTGTGGTTGCAGCATTATCACATTGAAAACAAGGATATCTCACTCCTTCATGTTTAAATGCAACATGTGTCTTCAAGTAACTTGCTGTAATTGATAAATAATTACATTGAGCACAAAGATATCTCACTCCTTCATGATTGTTTTTAATGTGCCTCTTCAAATCGCTTGCTGTAGTTGCAGCTTAATTACATTGCAAACAAGGATATCTCTCTTTTATGTTTGTTTCAACATGTCTGTTCAGATTCCTTGTTGTTGTCGCAAAATATTCGCATTAAGAACATATTATTTTCTATAGAATTAATGACAAATAAAAAGATTTCCTTGTGATTAAATTAAATTTGCATTCCATGTATAAAGAACATCATAATTTAGAAGACATTTTTTACTGGAGTTTTTTTTATGTCATATGTCTTAAGTCGCATCTGTCTAATGTCATGTTTGTAACCTATTTTTATTGCAGGCATCTTATTAATAATTTAGTTGCAAATCCAGGTATTTCTTAATAAATTTCCTAGTTGCATTCATTAACAAAAACTTTATTAAAGGGGTTTAAATCTTTTATAGAATTAAATAAAGGGAAAATCAAAAATAAAATAAAAAATAAGAAAGATGAAAAACATTAGATTTATAGGCTTGTTTTCATTAAAACTTCAAATTTTAATATTTCATCAGCATCAGTCAAACAAAGACACCTTACACCCCCCCCCTCTCCCTCTACAAAACATCTATCTATTATGACATCCCAATAACACGAATGTTACCAGGAAACCACCCCTCCCTGAAACCCTCCGCCTCCCTGATGAGTACGTGGGTCTCAGAGTTAGCATGACATGTGCAATGATACACCGTAATATGAAATTTAGGAAATCTAAAAGAACATTGAATGATTCGGCCAAGAGTCGGAGGAAAATAAGGATAAACATAACATTCTCTTACAAATTAAGGCTGTAGATACAGGGTGTCCCACGAAACATGACAGTATGCAGGACGTCTTGAATGTCGTCTTGATTTTTGATATAATTTGCTGCGTTTATTTGTCAATGTACAGTATTATAATATTTCTCAAACCTTTTGTTTATATCGTAGAGAATTTATTCGGATTTGCATTCAAACATGACCATATTTTTTGGTCTGAAAAAGACCTCTAGTTAAATATTTTTAATGAATGTTTTTGAGTAAATATGTTTACACACATACATGGTTACATTTTAAGATTGATGGTATTGCACGTGCTTCCTTTCATATATATATAAGTTTAAAATCTGTTTTCTTTAATTTTTTAGATAAAACTTTCAGTTATATAATAAAATTAGGCTAAATATGCTTTCAATCAACAAGGTAAAATATTCGTTAAACATGGCTAAATATAGAGTTAAATAGAAAGTACTTTATAACTTCTGCAGCTTGAAGATGAGGATTGATGATTAGATGTGGATCCAGCTCCTGTTGTAGTTCAAGGTTTGTGTGAGCACTGGGTTCGTCACTCCTCGTTACTTCCTAAATAGGGCTTAAGGTATAGGTTTTACAATGTTTCCTCTTCAGAACAAGATGGAAGGATATTTTCACGGATGGAAACTATTTCTTCTTTTATCTCAAACTCTGCGAGATCTAATTGTTCTTCAATGATCTTTGCCATTCTATCTGAAAAATACATTTTGAGTAAACTAGAAATATTTACAAATTAACAGAGTATCAATAATATAACTATATGAAAAAAACTTTTGATTTTGGATTACAAAAAAATGATCTGTTTTCTTAGCTTTCGTAAACAAAGCGAAAAACGGTAAAGGCAAAAAACTATACAAAAAGATTTAACATTAATGAATCTACCTTCAATTTATGTCATGACCAAAACTTAACAAATTAAAATCGTTGATTTTTGAAAAATAAAAATTGTTCTTGGAAAACAGAATCATTTTCCGATTGAAGAAAGGCCAGATAACTCCGTGGTGATTGCTGTAATTGCAAAATAATCACAATGAGGGCAAGGATATCTATCTAACTATTTCGTGTTTATTCCAAACATGTCTCTTTAGATGAGCTAATCGAGTTGCAACATACTCACAATTAGGACAAGGATATCTAACTATTTCATGTTTAATTTCAACATGCCTCTTTAGGTTACTTGCTGTAGTTGCAAAATAATCACAGTGAGGACAAAGATACCAAACTCCTGCATGTTTATTTTCAACGTGCCTCTTCAAATGACCTGCTGTAGTTGCAGCATAATTACATTGCAAACAAGGATATCTAACTCCTTCATGTTTACTTTCAACGTGAATCTTCAAAGATCCTGCTGTAGTTGCCGCAAATTCACATTGCAAACAAGGATATCTCACACCTTCATGTTTACTTTTAACATGTTTCTTCAAGAGACTTGCTGTAGTTGCAGCATAATTACATTGCAAACAAGGATATCTGATTCCTTCATGAATCTTCAAAGATCCTGCTGTCGTTGTTGCAAACTCACATTGCCAACAAGGATATCCCACTCCTTCATGTTTACTTTAAACGTGAATCTTCAAAGATCCTGCTGTTGTTGCCGCAAACTCACATTGCCAACAAGGATATCTCACTCCTTCATGTTTACTTTCAACATGAGTTTTCAGATGATAAGCTCTGGTTGCAACATACTCACAATCAAAACAATGAAATTCCCCTTTGCTGTTCTTTTTCTTACTTTTCTTAGGCTCTGGTTCAAATACTTCATCCATGTTTTCTCCTAAAAAGTTAAAGATAAAATACTATTCAATTTTAATCAATTATTTAACTGTTGATTTGTGTATTAGATGGTTAATCATTGAATTACCTGTATGTTCGTTTTCGTGTTTAATGATTAGCTCAGTGTGAAAATCAGGATCAAATACAGGTTTATTCTCTACAGTATCCTGTATTACAGTATTCAATACATCTAAACATAAATATAGAAGTTTACTTAATATGTTAATACCCCGCCCCCTTTCCCCCCCCTTCGTATCACCCTTGTTAATTATTCTTTGAAGTTTTTCAAGCTAAAAAATTATTCAAAAATCAGGATCAAATACAGATTTATACAGGTTTATTCTCTACAGTTTCCTGCAGTCCAGTATTCAATACATCTAAACATAAAAAAAAAAAGTTTACTTAATATGTTAATACCCCGCCCCCTTCGTATCACCCTTGTTAATTATTCTTTGAAGCTTTTTAAAACAAAAAATTTCATAAATTATTCTTTGAAGTTTCTCAAGCTAAAAAATGATTCAAAATTCATAAATTTTCCCGATTTGCTCATTTGCTCTTCACTTTCATTTTTTTAAGGGGCTCAATTATTATATTACCCTTTAAACATTTTTTCCACTTTCCTTCCTTTTTCCATGTTACGGTTACCTTCGTAATATATTGAAATTTTGCTAAATTTTCATGTTTATTTATTATTCAAAATTTTCAATAACCTGAATCCTGTATTTCATGTTTAATGATGTTAAATGATGTATGTAAATTAGTATGAAATACATGTTTATTCTATACATATATTTTCCTGTCTGCATAATAATATAGTTATTATAGGTTATATATTCATTTATGAACACGTTTTAACCAAGTATTGAAAAAATATGTTGATTGCTTAAACCTTTAAAGGAAACAACCATATTTTACGTTTTTTTACGAAAATGAAATATTTTTATACAAAAGTTCTATAGTTTCCACTCTTGGAAATAGAAATGTACTTCTCAGAAACCGGTATTAAAAATGCGGGAAAAAATGAAAAGAAAATCTGTTAAAAGTTGTGTTTGTATGTTGCTACTTCACTTATAAAAGAGACAACACATGAAAATTACCCAACCTTAGCTTGGAAGATTTGTACTTGATGTTTTATTTACACTATTAATATTCAGAATCCTGATAAGGTTGTTATTTAATAAAACCATTAGGTTTACCTTGTATTTCTGTTTTATCAATCTTAACACCATTTTTATATAGATTAACAGTACATGTATTCTTTACAATAGAGGAGGGAAGGATTTCTTCATTTTTGGAAATTAACTCTTCTTTTATCTCAAATTCTTCTAAATCTATGTCTTTTTTCATAATTTCTGCCATTCTATCTGAAAATACGTTTAACATAAATAGAAATAGTTACTAACAATAATAATTACTTTATAACAATTATTATTTGAAGATTTACTATTTTTAAAGTTTTTTTTTAAGGCAAAACCCTTAATAGTTGTTACCAAGCGCACCATTTCCCATTACAGCATGAAAATTCAAAGATTTATAGATCTTTAATGTTTTTACTTTAGAAAATTACAATTTAATTTTCATAAACTTATATAAAAAAGAAATAATAACAATACATCAACGCTAAATGAAATATCTAGTTAGCTTTAAAATCTTTGTTGTGACTAATGTCTAATAGTTTTTGAACAACCTTATAAATGACTTAGATATTGACAAATTTAATATCTCTTCATAATTGTTATTCAAGAAAATAGAAATATTCTTAGAAATCAGAATGATCTTCTTCAGATAAAAGAAACTAAATGATTCAAAAAATATAAAAGGCATCTGTAAAATATTAATAAGGGGAAAATATAATGCTTAGTATAACTGAGGATCTAAATTAGGTAATATTTAAAACTGAGAAAACAATTATTGAATTGATTTGTCTTATAATTTTGATTACAATCTAACTTGGAAAACAAAGATAACTAAGGTTCATGCTTATTCTTGAAATGACTAATTAGAATAGAATTAATAACATTAATAATATTTATTCTTCAAAAGAATTAGATATTATATGCTTAAGTATAAAACAGGGGAGTATATTCTTGCTAGAAGTTGAATTGTAACCCCCACCCCACCCTGGCATATAAAAGAGTCTAAAACTTTAAACATATTCAAGAACAGTTCTAATAAACATATTAAAAATGTCGAGAATATATTATGAAAAAATCAAGTGCAGAATCGCTTTATAATTACCAAAAATGGTATTTTTGAATACAACCCATTAACGCCCATGCTTTTTCTTAAAGTGACTCTTCAGATTCTGTACTGTAGTTGAAACATAGTCACAGTGAGAACAAGGATACCTCACACCTTCATGTTTACTTTCAACATGTTTCTTCAGGTTACTTGCTTGAGTTGCAACATAATCACAGTGAGAACAAGGATACCTCACACCTTCATGTTTACTTTTAACATGGCTCTTCAGACTACTTGCTTGCGTTACAACATACTCACAGTAAGGACAAGGATACCTCGCACCTTCATGTTTACTTTCAACATGTGTCTTCAGGTTGCTTGCTTGAGTTGCAAAATAATCACATTGAACACAGGGATATCACACTCCTTCATGTTTACTTTCAAAATGAGTCTTCAAAGATCTTTCTGTAGTTGCAGCAAAATCACATTGCGAGCAAGGATATCTTACTCCTTCATGTTTATATTCAACGTGCCTCTTCAATTCACTTGCTCTAATTGCCGCGTAATCACATTGCAAACAAGGATATCTCACTCTTTCATGTTTAATTTCAACATGTGTCTTCAGGTTACTTGCTGTAGTTGCAAAATAATCACATTGAGAACAAGGATATCTCACTCCGTCATGTCTATTTTTAACATGAGTCTTTAGATGACATAGTTGAGTGGCAATATACTCACATTCCAAACAAAGATATTCCACTCGTTCATGTTTACATTCAACATGAATCTTCAAAGAACTTGCTGTAGTTGCCGCATATTCACATTGCCAACAAGAATATCTCACCTCTTCATGTTTACTTTCAACATGAATCTTCAAATGACTGACCTGTTGCAGATGCAGCAAAATCACATTTCAAACAAAAATATCTCACTCCTTCATGTTTAATTTCAACATGTTTCTTCAGGTTACTTGCTGTAGTTGCAGCATAATCACATTGCGAGCAAGGATATCTCACCCCTTTATGCTTATTTTTAATATGAGTTTTCAGTTGATAACCTCTGGTTGCAACAAACTCACAATCATTACAAGGAAATTCCAAATTACTTCTCTTACTTTTCTTAGGCTCTGGTTCAAGTACTTCATCCATGTTTTCTCCTGAAAAGTTAAAGATGAAATACTATTGAATTTTAATCAATTATTTAACTGTTTATTTGTGAATCAGATGATGAATCATTAATTTACCTGTATGTTCGTTTTCATTTATAATGAATAGCTCACTGTGAAAATCAGGATCAAATACAGGTTTATTCTCATCAGTATCCTGTAGTCCAGTATTCAATACATATAAACATAACAAAGAAGTTTACTCAATATGTTAATACCCCCACCCCCTTCGTATCACCCTTGTAAATTATTCTTTGAAGTTTTTCAAGCTAAAAAATTATTCAAAATACATAAATTTTCCCGATGTGCTCATTTGCGCTTCACTTTAATATATTTGGATATTTTGTAAAATTTTCATGTTTATTTATCATACAAAAGTTCCAATAACCTTTATCCTATATTTCATGTTTACTGATGTATGGGAACCTTTTCTCAGAGAAATAAAATAAATATGTTGATTTTTAAAACCTTTTAAGGAAACAACCTTGTTTTTTTTTACGAAAATGAAATAATTTTTTAAGAAAATTTGAAATTTACTTATCAGAAATTAGCATTCAAAATGCTGGAGAAGGTAAAAAGAAAATCCGCCAAAAATCATTAAATGTATTCTGCTTGGTTGCTACTTTACTTATAAACTCAAAATACAACAGAAGAAAATTACCCAACCTCAGCTGGGAAGATATGGTTATATTTACTATTAATATCAAGATTCCAGAAGTATAAAAAGGTTGTAGAAAGATATAGATAGATATATACCTATTATTAAAGCACACAATAAAGCAAACCGGATGTTATTGTATGACATAATTTTGAAATTAAATAGTTGGAGGTGTTTCGTCAAATAGGTAGGGTGAAAGTATTAGGAAGAGAGGGGGGGGGGGTTATGTAGCTCAATCAGAATAAATTAAATTAAATTAAATTGAATTAAATCGGTGAAATGATCAAGTTTACCTTGTATTTCTGTATTCTCCATCTTTATACCATCTTTATGTAGATTAACAGTATATGTATCCTCTACAGTAGAGGAGGGAAGGATTGGTTCCTTGAAGGAAATTAACTCTTCTTTTGTCTCAAAATCTTCAATGTTTAAGTCTTCTTTTATAATCTCTGCCATTTTATCTGAAAAATACATTCAGCGTCCAAACAAAATGTACAAAGTAACAGATTAACAATAATATTTTTATGTGACAAAAAAAAATTCAAAGATTTGGATTATAAATAATTGAGAACAACACAACAAATTTTATTGCTAAACTTTATAAAAAAAAACCAAGGCAAAAATACTACAGAGTACAATCAAACTTATCAAATATTTCTCTTATACAAATTTAATTTTTAAATAAAAAATTGGATTTTGTTCACAAAGACTTGTTTAAAATAATGAATATAGAATAAAAAAAAATAATATGATAATGAATTAATTTAAAAACTATGAAAAACATCAATAATTGTAACTCCATATTTACCTATTTTGATTTCGAACTAGCTTAAAATAAGATAGATATCTAAGGCTCATGTTTATTCTTAATATGCCTCTTCAGATCACCTGTTGTAGTTGCAGCGTACTTACATTCAGGGCATGGATATCTCACTCCTTCATGTTTACTTTTAACATGCACCTTCAAAATACTTGCTTAAGTTGCAACATACTCACTATGAGGACAAGGATATCTTACTCATACGTGTTAATTCCCAACACGTTTCTTCAGGTTACTTGCTGTAGTTACAAAATAATCACATTAAGCGCAAGGATATCTCACTCCTTTAAGTTTCCTTTCAACGTGCCTCTTCAAATCACCTGCTGTAGTTACAAAATAATCACATTGCAAACAAGGATATCTCACACCATCATGTTTAATTTCAACATGTGATTTCAGGATACTTGCTGTAGTTGCAATATACTCACAGTGAGGACAGGGATATCCAACTATTTCGTGTTTATTCCTAACATGCCTCTTCAAAGACCCTGCTGTAGTTGCCGCATAATCACATTGCAAACAAGGATATCTCACTCCTTGTGTTTATTTTCAACATGTGATTTCAGGTTACTTGCTGTAGTTGCAATATATTCACAGTGAGGACAAGGATATCTAACTCCTTAGTGCTTATTCCTAATATGTTTCTTCAGATTAGCTGCTAGAGTTGCAACATACACACAATGAGGACATGGATATCTCACTCTTTCATGTTTAATTTCAACATGTCTCTTCAGATTAGCTGCTAGAGTTGCAACATACTCACAATGAGGACAAGGATATCTAACTCCTTCATGTTTAATTTCCACATGCGTCTTCAGGTTACTTGTTGTAGTTGAAAAATAATCACATTGAACACAGAGATATCTCACTCCTTCATGTTTACTTTCAACATGAGTCTTCAAAGATCTTGCTGTAGTTGCAACAAACTCACAATGAGGACAAGGATACCAAACCCCCTGCATGTTTATTTTCAACATGCCTCTTCAAATCACTTGCTTTAGTTGCCGCATAATCACATTGCAAACAAGGATATCTGACTCCTTCATGCAGCAAATGAGCACATCGGGAAAATTTATGAATTTTGAATAATTTTTTAGCTTGAAAAACTTAAAAGAATAATTTACAAGGGTGATACGAAGGGGGGGAACGGGGGCGGGAAATTAACATTTTGAGTAACTTCTTTTTTCATGTTTAGATGTATTGAATACTGGACTGCAGGAAACTGTAGAGAATAAATCTGTATTTGATCCTGATTTTCACACTGAGCTAATCATTAAACACGAAAACGAACATACAGGTAATTCAATGATTAATCATCTGATACACAAATCAACAGTTAAATAATTGATTAAAATTGATTAGTGTTTTATCTTTAACTTTTTATAAGAAAACATGGATGAAGTATTTGAACCAGAGCCTAAGAAAAGTAAGAAAAAGAACAGCAAAGGGGAATTTCATTGTTCTGATTGTGAGTATGTTGCAACCAGAGCTTATCATCTGAAAACTCATGTTGAAAGTAAACATGAAGGAGTGAGATATCCTTGTTGGCAATGTGAGTTTGCGGCAATAACAGCAGGATCTTTGAAGATTCACGTTGAAAGTAAACATGAAGGAGTGAGATATCCTTGTTTGCAATGTAATTATGCTGCAACTACAGCAGGTCATTTGAAGAGGCACGTTAAAAATAAACATGCAGGAGTTTGGTATCTTTGTCCTCACTGTGATTATTTTACAACTACAGCAAGTAAACTGAAGAGGCATGTTGAAATTAAACATGAAAAAGTTAGATATCCTTGTCCTAATTGTGAGTATGTTGCAACTCGAGTAGCTCATCTAAAGAGACATGTTTGGAATAAACACGAAAGAGTTAGATAGATATCCTTGCCCTCATTGTGATTATTTTGCAATTACAGCAATCACCACGGAGTTATCTGGCCTTTCTTTAATCGGAAAATGATTCTGTTTTCCAAAAACAATTTTTATTTTTCAAAAATCAACGATTTTAATTTGTTAAGTTTTGGTCATGACATAAATTGAAGGTAGATTCATTAATGTTAAATCTTTTTGTATAGTTTTTTACCTTTACCATTTTTCGCTTTGTTTACGAAAGCTAAGAAAACAGATCATTTTTTGTAATCCAACATCAAAAGTTTTTTTCATATAGTTATATTATTGATACTCTGTTAATTTGTAAATATTTCTAGTTTACTCAAAATGTATTTTTCAGATAGAATGGCAAAGATCATTGAAGAACAATTAGATCTCGCAGAGTTTGAGATAAAAGAAGAAATAGTTTCCATCCGTGAAAATATCCTTCCATCTTGTTCTGAAGAGGAAACATTGTAAAACCTATACCTAAAGCCCTATTTAGGAAGTAACGAGGAGTGACGAACCCAGTGCTCACACAAACCTTGAACTACAACAGGAGCTGGATCCACATCTAATCATCAATCCTCATCTTCAAGCTGCAGAAGTTATAAAGTACTTTCTATTTAACTCTATATTTAGCCATATTTAACGAATATTTTACCTTATTGATTGAAAGCATATTTAGCCCAATTTTATTATATAACTGAAAGTTTTATTTAAAAGATTAAAGAAAAAGATTTTAAACTTATATGTATAA